AGATCCGGACAACCCTCCCGGACAACCCCTCATGGACAAGCCCCCCCAGGATTTGTTCCCATACAACATAATACTCTACTTATAATTACTGCTTTGCTCCACTCTACTTTGCTCTTTTTCCCTACCTAGGCTCTGTCTAGAAGGGTTCTTACTGTCTTGGCTTAAAGGGGCTGGGCAGTGTAAACCGGTCCCCTGGGAGCCAAGCAAAAGCAACAGCAAAGGTAAAAGCAAACGCGTGGTTCCCCCAGTTGCGCTCCCTGGGTGCCAAGCAAAGGCAAAAGCAAAGGCAAAAGTGAAGGCAAACACGAAGGCAACGCAAAAGCACAGCATAGCATAGCATAGCATAGCGCAGCATAGCACAGCATCCAATATTGCTGCTGCATAGAAGGAGGAGGACGGCGTTTACCGCTCCTACGAATGTTGCTTTCCTAGAGGCTCCAACTCCTAGGTAGGGTCGCTCTGGGATAATATTTTATGCTCTGTCCACTCTACTTCACTCCTGAATTGGGCCTCTGCAGTGCGATAGTCGGGGCGGGGCGCCATTGGGACAGAAAGGGGAAACTATTGCAATGGCAGAGGAGGCCGCTGCAATTGCAATAGTCTGCAAGAGCAGAGAAAGCAAATGCATTACCCGGGGGCAACATGACGGAGTGGGGGTCTCAGCGGGCCAATTAGACCATTCGGCGCCGCGTCCTCTTCACCGGCCCCTGCGGGTGGGAACAAGACGGCCTCGCGCGCAGAGTAGCCACAATGGCGGGAATAACTATTACAAAACAATTAAATGTGAGTAGTAGCGGGAGTAAAAAAAAGTAGGCACACGAGTCGTAACATTCGTCGTCGTACGAACCGCAATAGCAATAGTAGCGGCCACCGTCGCCGTAGTAGTACTTGTACAGATGCGTAGTTGTCATGGTAGCCATTCGATGAAAAGGGTTGCAGCAGAAGCAATAACGCCATGAACCATGAACGTAACAGGTCGAACAAGTCAACCAGCCCCAGCGGTCCTAGCAGAAGAAGTAGCGACAACAGCAGCAATAGCACTAGTAGAACTGCTACGACAAGTATGAGTGGTAATACGAGAGCAAGCCGTAGTGTGAGCACAACATCTTCATCGGTAGTAATATTTCTAAGACCAGACGGGTAGAAGCAAATTCGTGGTTACAGGATCGTAGTAGGACGCACGCGAATGCAACATTCATCGCACCCATCACACCTGCCATGGAATTAGTGTCCCTTACGGTGAAGCAGTCAGTGCAGAACTGGCATTCGTAAAACTATAAGCTGCCCAACTGGCACGAATAAGACAATCCCAGGCTATCGCCATCGCACTCCACCGAACACTCTCTGGAGCAAACCAATTCGTGCAAGCGGGTCTTTGTGTTTGCTGCGCGGACAGCTGGTCCCACAGCCCCCGCCCGAACGCAGGGCACCGGTCGGCGGCGAGCCCGGGGGGGAACTGTGGAGGGGCGGGCCTCCTCAGAAGGCTCGGAAGTCCCCTGGCCTTCTGGGAGCTTGTCTATGAGCCTTCCCCGAAGACTTTTTGATTCGCGGGTCGAGAGTGCACCTCTTCCGGTCGAGACTAAGCCGGCCGCGCGAAGGCTGAATTAGCAGAGGGGGGAACAGAAGGAGAGGCCTCACGTCAAGGCCAGGAGGAGAGCCTTCCCCGAAGACGCAGGGGACCTTTCAGCAGACGAGAGGGCTTCGGGGACGGCCCGCCGTCTTCTGGGACGGCTTTCTCCTTCGGATTTCACAAATTACACAATATGAAAATACTCTCCCACTTCCCATGATGGCGTCCCGAAGATATCCGACCCCCCCCCCGCGTAGTGTTTTTTACACACAGGATTCCCGGGAAACGGGTTTTCGCTTGTGTTTTATTTCAAAATGCTGCTCTCGCCGAGGCGCCGGCCTCGTTTTCGGGCCCCGCTCATTCCGAATCGTGCTCCCGCTGCAGCGCTGGCCTCATTTCCGTGCTTCCGCTCGTTCCGACTCGTGCTCCCGCTGCAGCGCTGGCCTCATTTCCGCGCTTCCGCCCGTTTCGACTCGTGCTCCCGCTGCAGCGCTGGCGTCATTTCCCGTGCCATGCCACAGCACACGCGCACACACGCACACACACACACCACCACCACCACCACCACCACCACCACCACCACCAGCACCAGCACCAGCACCAGCACCAGCACCAGCACCAGCACCAGCACCACCAGCACCACCAGCACCACCAGCACCACCAGCACCACCAGCACCACCAGCACCACCAGCACCACCAGCACCACCAGCAGCAGCAGCACCACCACCACCACCACCACCATCACCAGCACCAGCACCACCACCACCACAACCACAACCACGCACGCACGCACGCACGCACGCACGCGCACCACCACCCACTAGTCCGCGGATAGAGAAAATCAGCGCCATGGTAAGGGATGCGAGGGAGGGGTAGGACGTCAGATATGACGCGCGCGCACCTAGCTTGCCCCCCCCCCCCCTCGCTCGCCGCCGAACCTTCCCGTCGCTCGGACGTTCATGTCCATTTCCCGTGCATTTGTCGATTTCGTGCGTGTTTTTGTTTGCTCGATGGTCCAGGATGGTCCTCGATGGTTCTCGCCGAGAAAAAATGCACACGTCCGAGCGATGCCAAGTATAAGCCTTCCCCGAAGACGCAGGGGGCCTTTCAGCAGACGAGAGGGCTTCTGGGACGGCCCGCCGCCTTCTGGGGCGGCTTTCTCCTTCGGATTTCCCCCCCTCGTTCGCCAAGGACTTTCTTTTCCTCCTCCTCCCCCTCTCCTCCCAACTTTTTACATGTCTCCCATTGCATGAATCCAGACACCTCAGATCCTAGAGGCCATGGCCTCTCACCCACCTGGTCTGCTCTAGGCCCGGACGCTGTCCGCAACGGTGGTCGCATCGCATCGCATCGCCCCCCTCGCTCGCCGCCGAACGGGACGCCCGGATCTCCGACGGCACGGCTTCGTCAACCACGGGCGGTGTCTCCTGCCTTGCGGCCCCCGGGCCCACTGTCGGGCCCCTGGGGCTCTCAAGCACGGGTCCGGGGTGGATTGGAGGGGACAAGGCGAGAGGGCACGAGACACTCTTCCGAGGGCCGCAGTGCCGTAGGAAAGCGCAGGGGTCGCGGAACGCAGGGCACAAGGGCACCCTGGATGTGGCAGGGTCGACATTATACCAATCGGCCGCGACTGCATCCCCGGGGGAAAGGGCTGGTAGAACCCGGGGGGCGCACGTTGGCAAGACTCGTGCCTAAGGATGTCTGGGAAGGGGGGCGGGGGGGGAGCGGGCCTAAACCTCGAGGCTCGGTGGCCGGGCTTCGAGTTTTTCGGGCGCGCTGGGCGTCCTTGGGCGCCACGCGCGTGGCCACGGTGTGATCTCGAGCCGATGGCCAGAACGCACCCCGGGACAGGTCCGGGAGCCGCATGCTGATCCCTGAGCTCAGACCTCCAACGTCTTGAGGACAAGCAGCGGCGGGCTCCAGCCGCTTTCGGCACCTGCCCGGGGGGAACGTTCGGGCCCTGGGATCGTCGGCAACAGGACAATCGGTGCAGAAAAAAACCAGCCTCCAGAAAGTTACCGAGAGGCTGGGGGGGGGGGGGCACGTGCTGCACTAATCGAGACGATGCAGGTCTGGGACAGAGTGCGAGGGGCAGACGGGGGGGGGTCGCGGGGGATGAGGCGTGGCGTGCCGACCCAAGGAGCTCGACCCCTCCCCTGGGGCCAACGTTTCATCCTGAATCGTGTAGCTGACGGTCCTGGCAAGCTGCCCCCAGACGCAGAAAAACCGGCTGCCGCGTTTTCCTCGCGACACCCAGCACTGAGAGCAGAAGGGGGAGAGGGAAGGGGGGGCAGAAAGGGCAGGAGCAACCAACATAGAATCGGGAAACTGGACTGAGGCAGAAGGTGCATCGGAACGGGTCGCCTCGGCATGGAGTTGGAATATCGAAATCAAATTGGATGGGGCCCGCCAACATCGGCATCAAATCGGATCGAGGTGGGCCCTGAACTAGGGAAACAAAAAGTGACATAAACATAAAAACTCGGAGGTCCGCGCGGATTTCTCGGATCGGCGCTGGACCCCCCTCCCTGGCGCGCGGAGCGCGCCAGGGGCGCCGGAGGCGCCGCCGGGGGGCCCCAGCGCCGATCCGAGAGCTTTTTTTTTGGATTCAGCCCTCTTCAAGCGAATACTAGCGTGCAAGTGCCTTTCGACTTGCGTGATTTCCGCGCCCCCCACCCCCCAGGCTTGCTTCAGGCTCAGCCCCCCCCCCCCGTCCATGCAAGTAAACTTGCCAGAGTCTAAAAAAAACTTGCCTGAAAGCAAGCCTGGGGGGGGGGGCGCGGAAATCGCGCAAGTCGAAAGGCACTTGCACGCTAGTATTCGCTTGAAGAGGGGCGAGGGGGGGGGGGGGGGGGGGGGGGCGAACGCCATGCAAATAAACTTGCCTGAATCCAAAAAAAACAAGCTCCCACATGTCTACGGGAATGCCGCTTTGTTGCTGCTGCCTTTCTTTCGGGGAGACGAGAGGCTCGGGTACGGGGGACTCGGAATGGCCTGACGGGGGGCACCATGAAAATGGCGAGACCGAATCTGAGATTTGAGGGGGGCTCCCGCCGCAGACATCCCACGAAAACGGGACCGTCAAAGTCCAGAACCCGCTCGTCAAAAAAAAAAGTCAGCTACTCCAGATTTCGTGATAAAAGGGAGGGGGTCTCATTTCGGGGGGGGGGGTCTCTTCCAAGCTATCTTGGAGGGCCTGGGGGGGTCTGGGGACGATGTTTTGGAGGGTTCTCCCACGGGGGGGGGGTCTAAAACTTTTCGTCTGGGAGGGTTGAGACCCCCTCCCTTTTATTACGAAATCTGGAGTAACCCGAGTTCCGGCTTACTGGAGTCTTACGTTTCCCCGAGTCTTCTTCAAGAATCGGTGTCGCACCGGCATCGCCTCGGATCGAAGTGGGCCCTGAGGCGGGGAGAGAAAAAAGAGGAGCGCCTCTCGGCGAGCTCTCCGCGGTGACGTCGGCGAGCGGGCGCGCGGTCGCCGCGGGCACTCGGCTGGGGCTCCCCCCCCCCTGGGGGTGCGCGGCTATGTGCGGGCGAGGCGCGCCCGGAGGGTCGGAGCGGTTCGAGCCGAAGCAGCCGAGAGGGAATCCCGGCGGAAGAAGCGCAGAAGACGGCACACGCGTGACTTTATCGGTGGTCGGCGCGGACTGCTGGGATCGGCGCTGGGCCCCCCTGGCGGCCCGAGACACGAAGAACTGGAGAAAGTAAGCTTCTCCGCCGTCGGGGACGCCTGCTCCAGGGCGGCTGGAAAATGTATAACCCTACAGTGGCACGTCGGGGCTCAAGCTTTCCAACCGCCCTGGGGCGGGCACCCCCGACGGCGGAACAGTGTATTTTACACCGTTCTCCGCCCGCGAACTGGCGCCGCACCTGGCGCGCTCCGCGCGCAAAGGAGGGGGTCCAGCGCCGATCAGAGGAATCCGCGAAGAGCTCCGAGAAATGATGTTTACGTTTTACGTAATCTTTTTTCTTCGAGATCAGAAGGGGGATGACCGTTGATCCTTAAAACGTGTGTCAGCGCCACCACGTCCTTTGTTACCGAAGTCCTCCGAAACGACGCAGCAGCTGTAATGAGAGCCGAACAGGATACGTACACCCACATTCGTCCAACACATGTCCAGCAAACCATCGGACGGAACAGGGGCAGCAATCCGCTCGCAGACCCCCGCTTACCGGTGGCGGGGGGGCGCCGCAAGACGATCGGCCGTGGCCGGTGGCGGGGAGGCGCGTGAGATGATCGGCCGTCCCTCCTCCTCCTCCTCCTCCTCCTCCTCCTCCTCCTCCTCCTCCTCCTCCTCCTCCTCCTCCTCCTCCTCCTCCTCCTCCTCCTCCCCCCTCCCCCCTCTCCACGTGCTCCAGGGGCCCAGGACGCTCCTCGAGGGGGTCGGGGGCAGGGGCTGCGCAGCACACCTTCCGGGCCCTCCGAGCCTCCGAGGCCACGCTCCGCGGCACCTTCAGGCTGCGCGGTGTGCCTCCGGAGAGGGCTCCAGGAGAACTCCTGCGCGGCCGCTGGGCCCAAGCAAGGCTCCAGTTGGCCTCGGGGCCTCCCAGGGATACACCCCCGAAAGACCACCAACATCATGGAACGGGCACGCTTGTGTGTTTCAATTGCGCTTCCTTCTCGCTTTTGCGTTTCCGACGGGCTTCTGATGCCTCAAGACGGCTCCATGATCGCCCGAGAGAGCCACAAGAGGGCCCGTAATAGCTCCAAGATGGCCCCTAATGCCCCCCACTCGTCCCAAAAATAGTCTCAACAGGGCCCAACGAGGGGCGAATTTTCAGACTCACAGCGGGGGACCCAAATTCAGGACAGTCCCTTTTTGGATCGAGGGCCCCCACGGCCTCGAAGTTCCCCCCCCCCCTTCATGGCCTGAGTCACGGCAAAGCTCGGAGGACCAGGCTCGTTGCGGACAGTGCGTCAAGTGTTTTTTTTTGTAAGCACGGCGAAGTGTTGTGTACCAGCACGCACGCATACACACATACATATATATATATAGACATACCTATACATATCCATATCTACATATATATACACTACGACACATCAACGTAACGCTAGCCAGCGTGGGCCCCCAACAGTGAGCTACGCGGTGGAAGACATGTGGAAGAAGCCATGCCGCACAGGTGGTGCGAACCATGGATGCGAACGCTACGCGGCGTAAGCTGTGTAGCGCAGGCAGTGTAGTGCAACCCACGTGGTGTGAGCTAGAGGTGAACGCCACGCGGTGTACGTTATGTGGTGCAAGCCATGTGGTGGACGCTACGTCGTGCACGGGGCGCCATCGAGTGCACACGAAGCGGCACCGGCGGCAACGCTGCGCGACCTCGGCAGACCAACCCAACGCACGGCGCGCCCACGAGCGCCCACGAGGCGGCACGTGTGGCAACGCGGCGCAACCTTGGCGGACTTGCCCAGCGCACGGGGTGACCACCAGCGCCCTCGAAGCGGCACGGGGCGGCAACGATGAACATCCTGGGTGGACCCGTGGAATTATTGAACGAATGCGAGTAAAAAACCGTGGGAGTTATCAAGCTTTGCACCTTCATGTCCTGAAAAGTGACAGAGCTGGTAAAGAACCTCTCCACGTCACGCCATCATTATGATGATCGGAGATGAAGAAGAGACGGATGCTGAGAAGGAAGAAGAGTCGCACTGCCGAGTGGGAGGCCGAGGCGGATTCGAGACCACGCGAGGGCACACGGCTCCCCCAATTGTAAGAGGCTCAGCCCACGGGGGACAACGGTGTAGCGAGCGACAGCAAGACGTAGAGCGACAGAAGAAAGTAGCCACGATCAGACGACCAGAAGAGCCCCTACAGAGCCTTCCACTGGTTAGGTAGACGTTGTGCGGAGCCTGGCAGCCTTCTAAGGAATGGTAAGTACCTGGGGGTGAATGGTGGTCCAGATTTGAGGCCGTACAATGTATCAGTACATCTTTCTTGAGGAGCTCAGGTCTCCTCTGCGAGGCCGTCTCGGCAGCGTCTTCCTGGAGACGGCGAGGCAGGACCCAGTTTGTTTCATTATTTGGGGCTTGGGGGTTAGCGGCAGGCGATCCTGGCGTGGGGGCCGGCCATTTGCCCTCTCGGGGGGAAGGGGCGTGCCATCGCTTGCGAGCGGGTGGTCTTGTCGCTTCCTTCCCTGCCCCCTTCAACAGCGCCTTCGATCATGTACTGGTGTGACGAAGAGAGAGAGAGAGAGAGAGAGAGAGAGAGAAAAAAAAAAGAAAGAGAGAGAGAGAGAACAAAACAAAGAGAGAGAGAGGGGGAGAGAGAGAGAGAGAGACTGACAGACAGAGAAAGAGCCACTGGACAACAAAAAGGAGGAGGAAGAGGAGGAGAAGGATGGAGGTGACAGTCGGCCGCGCCCCTCCCCCGTCCATCACCCCCCTGCCCCAGTAGTTCCTCAACTCCTCTTCCTTTGTCAAGCACTGCCTGTCACCCCCCTCTTCACGCCCCGTCCCTCCCTGCGCCCACCCAAATCTCCCGCGCCCCCCGAGCCTTTCGCGCCGCCCCCCCTCGGAGCCTCTCGCGCCCCACCTCCCCTCCCTCCCTCCCCCCTTCCCCTCCTCGCTCTCCCCATCCTCCTCTTACCCCATCCCTCCCCTGCCCCTCACCTCCACCCTCCACTTGGGTGGCCAGAGCGTGCACACGCCTCCTGGGCCCGTGCTGTGGTGCCCTGCCCCTCCCTTCGCCTCTCATCTCCTTCCTCGGCTGCGCCGAGATCAGCCTGGTCCGCCACCCACCTCTAACCCCCGGGGGCGGCCAAGAGGGGGGCGTCCAAGAGAGTGGGGCGCAAATCATGTTCGGCGGCACGTGCGCGGCCCAAGGGAGGCTGGGGACGCATTGACATTGAAACAAGAAGAGGCACCATGATACCTGGGGGACATCAGCGCTTCCGCCATGACATCCACCCCTCCCTGGTCATCACCCCCCTCTTTGCCGCCCCCGAAGCTCACAGCTTGGGCGCAGAACGTACGCATTCCCCAAGAACGGTGCTACACGCGATCCGGCGCTAGACGTGGCCAGAGATGGATCACGAGGGCCACAGCACGGCCATGCAAGCCATGGCAACGACGCCGCAGGCCAGCCGACAGGCCGCCCAGAGAGGGCGCCGCAAGGGCCCACAACACGGCGCGGCATCCTGCGCCTGAAACTCGCAACGAGCTCGCCAGGGCTCAACGATCCCACGGAGGAGTGGGCGGCCAGCTACCAGTTGGTCCGATCCCCCCGCGTGCCGACGCCGCCCCGTCGTTGCCCCCCCCCCCCCCCCCCCACCTTTTGTGCTCCTTCCAATTATCCTGCCGGTCCTCCTCGCCTCTCCTCGTCTACGTCGAGCCTCTCCTGTTCCTCCCGCTTTCCCTGGCCCCCCAATCTCCTCCCACGCATCCACCTCCCTCCCCTCCCACATCATCCATCCTCCTGCCCCCGCTGTCCCCCCTCCTCGCTCCTCCTCCTCCTCCTCCTCCTCCTCCTCCTCCTCCTCTTCTTCTTCTTCTTCTTCGTCTTCTTCCTCCTCCTCCTCCTCCTCCTCCTCCTCCTCCTCCTCCATTCCTTTTCTTAAAGATAACTCCTCTGTCGCACCCCGAGGCCGTTCGAAAGGGCAGGCCAGGCGTTTCGCCTGAGACATCCGGAAAAGTTATGACATTGGTGCCCAAACATTGAGAACAGCTTTACAAATGGAGGGTGGGTGCTTTGAAAAATGTGGTTCTCAGCCTAACCGCCTCCCGCGGGCCGTTTTCAACAAGTGGCTCTCGCATTAGCACTGCGCACATTCGTTTTCAAAAACTGAAAGAGTTTCACGGATTCAGGGCGGTTCCTTTTCAAAATACGGCTCTCGCCTTACCATAGCGCGCATTCGCCTGACACATTGCAAGGGTTTCGAGTTTTGAGGGCGGTTGATTTTCAACATGTGGCTCTCGCCCTAGAGCCGCGCACATGTGTTTCCAAACATTGGCGGAAGCTTCACGGATTGAGGGCGGGCAGTCGTTTTCAAAATGTGGCGTTCGCCTGTTCTCCGCGCCTATTCGTTTTCAGAGATTGCATGATCTTTGCGGACTGAAGGCGAGCCGTTTTCAAAATCTGGTGTTCGCCTTAGCGCCGCGCACATTCGTTCTCGAACATCGCAAGATCTCCACGGATTGAAGGCGGGCTGACTTCAAAATGTGGCTCTCGCCTCAAAACCGCGCGCCGTCGTTTTCAAACATTGCAAGATCGTCACGGTTTGAGGGCGGGCCGTTTTCAAAATGTGGCTCTCGCCTTAACATCGCGCGCATTCGTCTGAAGCACTGCAAAGGTTTCGAGGACTGAGGGCGAATGATTTTCAACATGTGGCTCTCGCCCTGGAACCGCGCGCATTTGTTTCCAAACATTGGCGAAAGCTTCACGGATTGAGGACGGGCAGCCGTTTTCAAAATGTGGCGTTCGCCCTCTCGCCGCGCGCATTCGTTTTCAGAGATTGCATGATCTTTGCGGACTGAGGGCGGGCCGTTTTCAAACTCTGCTGTTCGCCTTAGCGCCGCGCGCACTCGTTCTCGAACTTCGCAAGATCTCCACGGATTGAAGGCGGGCCGATTTCAACATGTGGCTCTCGCCTCGGCACCGCGCGCCGTCGTTTTCAAACATTGCAAGATCGCCACGGACTGAAGGCGGGCGGTTTTCAAAATGG